GGGTCTGTGGGAACGCCCCACCCCACCCCACCCGGCCACGCCCCCAAGACAGCACTCCTCTTGGCCACGCCCCATCAGGCCACGCCCCGGGTCACGCCCCGCAAAGCCCCGTTGAGGTGAATGGGAGGACCAGATCCTGCCCTTAGGGAGCTTATACTCTAAAAGGGGCGCCTAACAATAAACACTTGAGCAATTAAGACAGTTTCGTATGGTCATAATAATCATAGCCTACACTTAACAGCACTGAGCCCATTTAGTCCTCACTACAATCCTAAAAGATAGGTATTCTTATCCCCATTTTACAAATGAACTGAAGCACAGAGGTTAAATCTCTCGCTGGAGGTCACACAGCCTGTTAGTTGTGAGGTCAGAGTGCTAAGGAATTCCCCCTTGAAAAGTGGTGGACGTGTGAATGGAGACCCGAAGGAAGAGAAGGAGCCAGATATGCGTTGAGCTAGAGAAGAGCATTCCCAGGCAGAGGGAAGAGGACAGAGAGCCCGCACTGGGGTCAGGACTTAATGCATTCTTTACACAGCGACCAGAGTGAGCTTTTTATAAAGTGGAACTTGTCACTGCCCTGCTCTCAGCCTTTCCATAGCTCCTTATTGCCCTGAGACTGAGTTCAGAGCCCTGATGGGGGTCTGTGGGCCCAGCATGATCTGGCCCTGCTTGCCTCTTCAGCTTTGCCTCCCACCCTTCTTGCCCTTGGTTTTGCCCTATTAGCGTTCTTTCAGTTCCTCCCACATGTTCTGCCTCAGGGCCCTTGCACTGCTGCTCCCTCGTCCTGGAACAGAAAGAAGATCCCCCAGAGCTTTGCATTGTCTCCTCCTCAGAGAGGCCTTCCCTATCCACCCCACCTAGAGCACATTCTCCCCGTTATTCTCAGCACCTGCTTCCTTTCCTTCCTGGCACTAGGTGTACAATCTTGGGCAAGTTACTTCACCTCTCTGTGCCTCACTTTCCTCACCTGTAAAATGGGAGTAATCATCATACCCTTCATAGGTCTGTAGTGAGGGTTAGATGAGGGAGTCTGTGTAAAGTGCTTAGAACCGGGCCTGGTACCTAGTAGGCTCTCTGTAAAGCTAGTGTCATTGTCCTTCCAGACTGAGAGCTGCATAAGCACTAGGACTGTATCTGTTTTGTTCCCCATTGTTTCCCCCGTGCGTGGCACATAGTAGGTGCTCTTGGTGAGGACACAAACCAGAGCCCAGAGTCCTGAAAACTCAAGATTCCAACTCCCAATGAGATTTGGTCAAGTGGAGGCATTGGGGCAACTGGACTAATGGCTTGAACTCTGGAGCCAGCCTGTCTCGGAGCAAATCCTGGTTCAAATTCTTACTAGCTGCGTGACCTCAGGCAATTTGCTTACACTTTCTGCTTCAGTTTCCTCATCTGTAAAGTAAGGCTAAAAATAAACCTTAACTAGGGTTATTGTGAAGGTTAAACGTGGGTTCTATTTGTAAAGTGCTTAGCATGGGGCCTGACACATGACAGTAAGTACTCAGTGATAATATCACTAGCTCTTGCTTCTGTGTAGCAGGGGTCCACAAACTACGGCCCTTGGGCCAAATCCAGCCTGATACATGTTTTTGTAAATAAAGTTTTATTGGCACACAAACTTGCTCGTTCATTTACATATTGTCCTTGGCTGCTTTTGCACTGCAATGGCAGTAGCTACGACAGAGACCCTGTGGTCTGCAAAGCCAAAAATACTTACTATCTGCCCCTTTACAGAAAAAGTTGCTGACCTCTGATCTTGGGTCTATCAATACTCCTCTAAGTCATTTCCGTGTATCGACTTGTTTAATCTTTACAATCATTCTCTGAGGTAGATGTTACCATTATCTCCGTTTTACAAATGAGGAAATGAGACAAAACCGTTAAGTGACCTGCCCAAGGTCACACAGCTAGTGTCTGAACGGAGAAGTGTTAGCTTTACTATTATTACGTTTACACCACTACCACCATCAGATGAGAAGTAGAATTGATTCTGATTAAGAGCATGTTCTCCTGGGATGAACGGCCTTGGTTTCAAATCCTGCCTCTGCCACTTCTCAGCTCTGTGACCTCAAGCAAGTCAATCAAACTCCCTGAGCTTCTCAAGCTCCATCTGTAAAATGGAGTCTGTCATCCTTCACAGCACTCTTCTTGTGAGGAGGAAGTGAGTTCAGAAACATAGCAAAGAACCAGGCACAGAGTAAGTGCTGAAAAAACATTGTATGTATTATTAGCTATATTTTTTACAGATAGGAAATGATGCTAAAAGAGTTGCTTGTCCAAGTTCAAGTAAGTAGTGGAGGCAAGACATGAAGCAGGTCTGATTCCGGAAGTCGCTGACACCCCAGGGCTCTAACGTTATAGGTCAGTCGTCTCAGACACCACTCCACCCACCCAGCTCAGCATACTCTGGTCAACCTGGTTTCCTTCCAGCTTCCTGGTGGGCATAGTGTCTAGCCCAGGATCAGCAGAGGGTCCAGCCCGGGCATGGTGGAGGGGCCCGCCTGGTAGTCTGGCCTGGTTTGGTGTGCCCAGCACCCACGCCTCCCTGTCCTATCCCCCAGAGAATGGAAACCGCTACGAGGGCTCCTGGCAGAGAGGCATGAAGAACGGCCCGGGACGTTTCTTCCACCTGAACCACGGTCAGCTGTTTGAAGGCTTCTGGGTGGACAACGTGGCCAAGTGTGGCACGATGATTGACTTTGGCCGTGATGAGGCCCCTGAGCCCACCCAGTTCCCCATTCCTAAGGTGGGCAGCTCCCACGAGGGCCCTGTGGCCACACCCAGAGAGAGACTGAAAACAGCTCCCCAGCCACACCCAGCCCAGCTGGCCCAGCCCAGTCCAGCCAGGGAACAGACAAGGTTTTGTTTTCAGTCAGGGCATCCCCAGGGAGGCAGGCAGCACCCCACGAGGCTGGCATCACCCCCAAAGTAAGCAGAACCCCTCAAGGCTGGCAGCACCCCCAAGGCTGGCAGCCTGGGCTTTCCGTGCTCCCCAAACCAACCCCTGCTGTTTCCCTCCAGGCCAAAATTCTCGACCCCGATGGTGTGCTGGAAGCAGCTTTGGCCATGTTCAAGAAGACAGAGGAGGAAGAAGAGGAATGACGCCAGGTGAGGGGGCAGGCACGCCTGCCAGCCTCTGATGTGGTGGGGTAGCTCCTAGGGTCTCCTTTGGCCAAGGAGCTCAGCGGCAGGACCAGAGAGGGTGGGTTTCTTAACTCTTACAGTCTAGCTGGTCCTTTTTGGTTCCTCTCCTTCAAAACTCATTTCCCAGACCAGTTCATTCCCGTCCTGCCCAAATCCTCCCATTTGCCTCCTGGGCTGAATGCTGGATTGGAGCCAGGTGGTCTGCTTGCCCCCAGATGCCCTTGAGTGAGGCGGTTTGTCCCGGCCTTCACTTGCACACCTGTCCAGTGGGGCCTCCAGCCCTAAACCCTCCTGGGGTGGGTATAAATGAGGTTCGAGGAGAGGGCACTGCCACAGTCTTGGAAACGCCAGCTCCCACCACCCCCTTGCCGCTGCAGAGAACACCAGAGCTTGGAAGAAATTCAAGCCCACATCACCCAACTGCTCAGACCGGTGCGGCTCCTGGAGGAGCCAGTGGTGACTCCGGGCGCAGCCTGGCACCCTCAAAGGGCACGCACTCCTTCCAGCACTGGATTGTTCTTCACCCACAGGGGCCAGTGCTTCTCTCCCCGGCTGGCCTCGGGGACCCTCTCATTACAGCCTTCATTCTAGGACCCCATCTCTGAGTGTACGAGAATAAAGGAGAATCTGGTGGCATTAGCCTGGGGCCTGTGGTTGTGGATGGGGGCGTGGGGGGAGCCTCCGGCGTGATTCCAGGTAGAGAAAAGGGAAGACGTCCCCATGGGCTGCATGGGTTCACCTTGGGGGAGAAAGGGGAGGTGTCTCCAGGTCTCTGACCTCTGAGATACTCCAGAGGAGAAAGAGCCTGCTTCTGGTCACACTGGTCACTAAGATTTGGGGTTAAAACCTGACCTGGATTCTCAACCTGACAGAGACTCTCAATTTTGGAACCCCACGGGAGCTTTAAAAACTACGGATGCCCAGGTCCCACACTCAGAGATTCTCATCTGGGGTGAGGCCCAGGCCTTCATAGAGTTCTCCAGGTGATTCTAATGTGTAGCCAGAACCCCTGACTGACTGGCTGTGTGACCCTAAGCAAGTGACCTCAGTTGCCCCATCTGTAAAATGGGACTTAGGAGATTTCACAAGGGGGTTTTGAGGATTTGTTAACAGATATAACAGGTAACATGTATTGAGGTTACTGTGAAGCAGGTATCTGGGAAAGCCTTTGCATAATTCTAATTCTAATCTAGACAGCGTTCCTCCGAGATAAGAGGGACTCTCACGTAACGGGTAGGAACGTGGGCTCTGCAGTCAGACTCTGGGTGTGAGTGCCAGCGGTGATTTATTAGTTGTATGTCCTTGGGTATGTCACCCAGACTCTAATACCGGACAGTAACGGTACTTACCACCCAGGGTTATTGCGGTTACTGTGAGGATGAAATAAGGCGTGGCTCTAATCCGAGGGTGATTTTGTCCCCCTCCCTCCCTGGGACATGGCAATGTCTGGAGACATTTTTGGTTGTCACAACTGGCAGGGAAGAACGCTGGCACCTAGTGGGTAGAGGTTGGGGATCCAACGCGCTACAGTGTAAAGTCTACAAAACAATTATTCAGCCCAAGGTCAAGAGTGTAACCCTGAAATACCGTGATGGTGATGTTCGGAAAGCCCTCAGCAAGTACCTGGCACGTAGCAGAGGGCTCAATAAACACTGACACTATCGAGGTTCTCTCTGCCTTCTAAGTCACGGTGGGGCGGCCTGACCAAAGACATGGTTCTGTCTGTACCTCTGCTACTAGGAAGCTAAGCCGGCCACCCTGGGGTGCAGAATTAACCAGATATAGAGCACTCACTTGGTGCCAGGCCCTGTGCTGACAGTTTTACGTGTGTCCTCTCCCATGACCCCTCAACAACCTATGAGGTATCCTGCTATATTAGTGCCATTTTAGAGGAGGAAACCAAGGTTCAGGGAGGTTCACAAGTCACCAAGCTAGAAAGCGACTGTCCTTAAACTTAGGTCTGCTTTTAACGTGCAGAACAGTGGCAGTGTGTAAAGAAGGCTGCCATTTTTCAGACAAAGTAGGGGGTGTGTGTGCTTGTTTATGTATAAAATCACTCTAGATGGGAACACAACTGGCAACAATAGTTGTCTCTGGGAACCTGGGAATGGGAGCGAGAACAACTTTTCACTGTTGTATTTGGAACCGTGTGAATGTACTATCTATTCAAAACATAAATGAAACGGAAACTAAATTGAGACTGTGTTCTTAGCTACCAGTGTTTCTCTAAGTTGCCTGGGTTTGAGAGTACCTTGAGTGCTTGTTAAAAATACAGATTCCAGAGACACACCCAGACCAATTTGAATTGGAACTTCCAAGGGAAGGGCTTGGAAATCTGCATTTTAGAAGCCAATCTGGTGATTCTTGAGCTCAGCCAAGTTTAGGAAAGAAAACCTATGGTTACCGTCACAGTCCAGAAATTATTCCAGCTGGACCCCAAGTCTCTGCAGAAGCAGGGAGGTGGTATCTCAGGGGAAGGCATGGAAGATGCCCAGGTCTTCTCTGGGGAGCAGTGGAGGATTTCACACAGGGCCCTCTGCCCTGTCCTACTCAGTCGTCACAGGGCTGTCCAGGGATGGGGAGGGACGATGGAGGTAAGCTGCTATGATAGGAAAAAGGAGGGCCCCCTTCCCCACTCAGCCCACGAAGCTACTATTGGCTATGTCCAAGTCTGCACAGGACAAGAGCTTAAGGCCACACTTTCCCCCAACCAACTTTCACTTCAGCCAGAGCACTTTGCTTTTATAAAACCACTTTCTATATTGGGTTTCTGGGACAGACAGAGCTCTCAAACTCAAAGGCCTATGAGGGCAAGGCAAGTAACATAAATGAAGCTGGCCTGGTATGAGACAAGAGGGAGTGGTGAGGACTGTGGCAAACACATCTCCTGGGGAAGAGGATGGCTACAACTCATTGCTGTTCTGCAAGAAGGTGAGCCCAGTACTGTTGCTGCTGGATCTTCCAATTTCTCAAGCAAAGCCAGAATCAGCCCATGTCAGATTTTGATGAGTGCCTGGGCTCTGAGCCAGAATTTCCAGGTTTGATTTCTGGCCAATTACTTAACCTCTTTGGCTCTTTGGGCATCAGTTTTGTCATCTGCAAAATGGAGACAAACATTCCTGCCAAAATGCACAACCTGATATGCCTTACAGAGAAAATACCTATGTTAGGTAAGCTTCATTCAGGCACAAGTGACAGTGCCGTTGGTGGTGAGTTCCCTGTTAATGAGTCAACAATATATATTAAGTAAGGTGTCTTTAAACAGAAACATACATAAAACAAGGTCATGTACAGATCGGTTGATAAAAATGTTGTCACCAGAGGCTCGCAGGAACCTAACCCCATATTTCCCTTAGGAGCAGCGGTTCAATATCCACTAATTCAGCGTTCACGGTGACTTTATAGAACAGAACTACCGTGAATAACAAGAATTGACCGTATATATATATTTCAGTTACTATTCATGCAACTTGTGCATAAGTCTGAAATTTCTCGAAATAAAATGTTGGAAAAAAAAAATCTGCTCAGAGGCTCACCTGATTGGGGCAGCAGGAGAAATAATACCAGGCAGTCCAGACCCAACAAATACAGACACAAGAGGAGGTGTCCCTTATGAGTACGTTTATGTGTTCACACACACACACGCGCGCGCACACACTCGACGGGGAGGGGGGCCCAAGATGGAAAGGACAGGAGGCGTCCAGGTGGCACTGGCGTGGGGGAGGAGGAGGGACAAAGGGAGTGTTTGTCCCAGCTCTGGCTCCCACTGGGGGCCTCCTAGCAGGAGGCAAACCTGGAGCTGGAAAACCAGAAGTGCTTATTCTCATAGAGGAAAGTTTCAAAGTGCAGTAAGTTCTCTTAAAAAAAAGCCTCTTCCCTCCACTCTCTGCCCCCTGATGAAAACCCAGCCCCCTGTGCAGGCTGTCCTTGAGGCTGGGGCAGGACAAGGTCATGGGGAAGGGCGTAAGGCCAAAGCTTTGAGGTGCCCAGACTTAGGGCTTAGGCATAGTGGCTGCCAGGTGTCAGCGGGTGGTCCCCTCTGTGGTCCAGCTGGTCCTGCAAGCGCGCGAACTCAGCCAGCTCGTTGAGCTCCTGGAACTGTCGGTCCGTCTTATGGCTGACCAGTGACCGGTAGAAGTGGACAGCAAAGACAATAAAGACCAGGCCGAAGGGCACCATGATGGTGGTAGAGGCGATGGCGGCGGCCTGGCCCGGGGTGATGCCACTGCTGCTGACATTGGCGGCCGCGCCGTCGTCTGGGGGCTTGCTGGTGGGCTGCGGCTGGCCCGGCTGCCTCTTGAGGGGCAAGAATTTGACCCAGCAGAGCAGCACGACCTCGGCCAGGAACAGCAGCGTGCCGATGACAGTGGAGAAGGCCCAGGCCAGCTCGATGTGGCGGTGCATGCGCTCGTGGGGCGACTCCTTCACTGAGTTGAGGTTGTGCACGTTGCTCACGGCCTCGATGTTGGGCAGGATGCAGGTGCTGATCATGAGCGCAAACAGGTGCACGGCCACCAGTACCGTGGTGCAGGCGCTGAAGGCGATGAGCAGCCCCGGCGGGTAGTCGTGGTCAGCATCCAGCTGCACCTCCACCATCGCCACCTGGGAGAAGGGGAGAGGCGGGCTAAGTGTCAGGACGGTCACAGCCCACAGAGCCGCACTCCAATCCTGGCTCTCCTCCCATCAAGCTCTGGGACCCTGGGTAAGTCACTTGGCTTCTCTGAGCCTCAGTTTCCATATCTATATAATGGGGCAATATGACCCACCCACTTAGGGTTGAGAAGTGGCAGAAAGTACTGGTGAACAAAGCAGGCTTGGAGCCCAGTCTGCCTGGATTTTAATCCCAGTTCTGCTACTCACTAGCTGCGTGTCCTTGGCAAAGTCACTGAACCTCTCTGAGCCGCAGCTTTCTTCTTTGTAAAATAGCAATATACTAGTTCATAGGATAATTTTAACAATTAAATGAGAGCTCCTGGGGCCGGCCCTGTGGCTTAGCAGTTAAGTGCGCGCACTCTGCTGCTGGCGGCCCGGGTTCGGATTCCGGGCGTGCACCGCTTCTCCGGCCATGCTGAGGTCGCGTCCCACATACAGCAACTAGAAGGATGTGCAACTATGACATACAACTATCTACTGGGGCTTGGGGGAAAAAAAAAGGAGGAGGATTGGCAATAGATGTTAGCTCAGGGCTGGTCTTCCTCAGCAAAAAGAGGAGGATTAGCATGGATGTTAGCTCAGGGCTGATCTTCCTCACAAAAAAAAAGAAAAAAATGAGAGCTCCTGGTACATGGTAAACACCTCCTAAATAGGAACCACTGCAATTACCACCCAGCCAGGCATTAAAAACCAACCACCAGGGCCGGCCCTGTGGCTTGGTGGTTAAGTGCGTGCGCTGCAATGCTGGCGGCCCGGGTTCGGATCCCGGGTGCGCATCGAGGCACCACTTCTCCGTCCATCCTGAGGCCGAGTCCCACATACAGCAACTAGAAGGATGTGCAGCTATGACATGCAACTATCTGCTGGGGCTTTGGGGGGAAAAAATAAAATAAATAAAATCTTTAAAAAAAAAAAAAAAAAAAAAACAACCACCACAAATGGTTAAAATGGTAAGTTTTATGTATATTTGATGATGATAAAAAAAGT